ACGTCCTCCGCTGTGCGGCGACCACCAGCCATGCATGTGCACCATCCATCAGCTCAACGAACAGACAACGTCTGTTCTTCAAAGTTCTCCTTGTCCACCCCGCCAGTCTGTGCACCTCGCCACTCGCTCGCTGCTGACGATGGCTTGGAAGTAGTGCCGTTGCGTGCAGTGTTGGTGCGTGCACGGCTGGTCATTTCCAAGCTGCTGCCCCCCTCCCCTGCAAGCAAGCAACCCGCTGGACTGAGATTGCCAAGATGGACGCACCCAAGACCACCACGAGGAAGCTGAAGCGAGGTTGGTATTCCAGTGGATAACTCCCTTTTGGTCCAACTGCACTGCATCTCCTCCCGGCCCATCCGCTCACTCATCCTCCCTGCATCTTCTCCTCCATCTTCATGCTCTTCTCCTCCATCTTCCCGTTCGTGGACAGAACCTCGCGATGCCAAACGCGTTGGTGACCAGCTGGCAGACGACAAGACAAAGCTGCTGGCAGCCATGACGCACGACAGTGGCGTGGACGTCATCACGCCAACTGTCATCAAGACCAAGCTGCCGGCTGACATTGTCGGCGCTACTTCCAGCCTAGACACTGCACCAGCAACGAGAGGTGAGCCGATTGCATGCTGTATGTGAGTGAGTGAGTGTGTTTGTGTGTGAGAGTGTGTGTGAGTGTGAGTGAGAGAGAGAGAGAGAGTGTGTGTGTGTGTGTGTGAGTGAGTGAGAGTGAGTGAGTGAGTGAGTGTGTGTGTGTGTGTGTGTGTGTGTGAGTGTGTGTGTGTGTATGTGTGTGACTGTTAAGCTGCGCTCCCCACTCCCCCACTCCCCCACTCCCTCCCTCCATTTCGCCCCTCCATCCCAGCACTCACACTTCTGCACCCTGCGCTGTGTAGACGTTGGTGTTGGCACGACATCCGACTTCTTTGACTGCTACTACTCGCCGCTGCTGACCGCAACCCTCGACGACGATGATGAGGAAGCGCAGATGAAGCGGAAGAACAAGGAAGACCCCGAGCCGGAGTGGTACATGCTGCGAGCAACACAGCACCTGACACGCGGGCCCTGGGCGCCCGTGCCGCCGCCACCACTCGTCCAGCTGAAGCCACCGACCAGCGCTTTCAGCTTCAAGAAGGTCTCGCGTTCACGGCCGGATCGCGTGTGCCACACGTGTCTCTTCTCCAAACCGTGCACGCGCCACCCTGAAAAGCTGTTCGACATGACATCATCCTCCACCAAATAGTGGTGCGTGTGTGTGTGTGTGTGTGTTTGTGTGTGTGTGTGTGTGTGTGTGTGTGTGTGTGTGTGTGTGTGTGTGTGTGTGTGGCGTGTTAAATTGGGGAAGTTGTATCGGTGAATCCCAATATCAGTCTTTTGGATTGAATGGACGGAGTTAATAGTATTCGTGGCAATCCCCGAGAATTTCTAAATTCGTAAGGGATTTGGGCGTAATACGTCAGTTGATGTAGCGCGGGAGGTTATCCGAGTATAAGAGGATACGGCATGGAGCAGACACGGGAACCGCAGCCTAGAGACGAA